TTTGAAAACCAAAACGATTTCCATCGTAGGGGCATGACAACCATGATTGCCCAATCAATTGCCATTACCATGACCTAACTTAATTGCCTCTGTAAAACACACATTAGTCATAGTAATCTTGTATTATCATTAATCACCGAAACCCAACTAGTGGACTAGATGCTTTCAAGCGCAACCCCTAAGTCACGACCATACGCGCATGCAAGCTGACCGAACGCACCACGCCCGCGTCAGGTCCTCATGCGCCTACGCACCAACACCCAGCAACCGGACGCACCGATGGAATGACCGGACGCTCCAATAATGTGGAGTCCGGTCACTTCTAGAGAGCATCCAGAGCCGCATTTTCTCGATCGGAGGCATCTGGTGTACCTCGGCCGGACCCAGCTCAGCGTCCGGTGCAATACCCTAGGTTACGCTGCCTCAGCTTCTTCTGACCGGACTCACCACTGTCGCGTCCGGTCACATTTTGACCTAGCGTCCGGTCACTTCAACAACAGAGCCTGAGCGCGCCAACTTCATCTAAAATTGATCGGACGCTGCTCCCCTGAGTTCGTTCACTATGTGACCTGCGTCTGGTCACTGTTTCACAGTGACAATTACCTCATTTACTTCACTAACTTCTCCACCCTTGCTCAAACGTGGCAAATACGAAGTGTATCACCTTGTGCACGTGTGTTAGCATATTTTCACAACATTTTCAAGGGTGTTGGCTCTCCAGTAGATCATAAATGCATATGCAATGAGTTAGAGCATCTAGTGACACTTTGATAACCGCATTTCGATACGAGTTTCACCCCTCTTAATAGTATGGCTATCGATCCTAAATGTGATCACAATCACTAAGTGTCTCGATCACCAAAATAAAAAAGCTCCTATCAAGTTTCACCTTTGCCTTGAGCTTTTTATTTTTCTCTTTCTTCTTCTCCAAGTCCAAGCATTTGATCATCACCATAGCATCACCATCATCATGATCTTCACTGTTGCTTCACCACTTAGAATAATGCTACCTATCTCATGATCACTTAGATGAACTAGGTTAGCACTTATGGTTTCATCAATTTATCAAAATCAAACTAGAGTGTTCAACTATAACCACCCGGATGCGTACGGAGGAGCTGATAAAAAAACAAAGTCGTAACCATCTACGGAAAAAACCGACAACGACCCTGTTTACCTGTCTTATGAGCCATACTATTTCAGCAAACGAACAATGTTTTTTCTCACAACAAATCAGCGAACAGTACTTTCACTTATGGCTTTTCAGCAAAGCGAACATGCCGCGTAGCGAAACAAACCAGGAAAAAAAACTAAGAAAACAAAATGTGCAGTTCACGCATTCACAAATCAGTTAGGGAGAAGACAGTCAAAAAGATAGGAAAGAAATTTGCTCTTTGATACTAAATAGGAGTATAGATATGGATATGATGTATTCATGATATTTCTTCATTCTAGAAGATGTTAAGAACAACAAAGGCTAGCGTCAATGATCTCAGCACCGGACTAAAAGTCTCCACGAGAGCATAATTAGCTTGGAGGATAAAAAAGAAGAAGCAAAATACAGGTTCTAAGGTTGCTTTGCTGCGGCAATCAAACACTAAACTGAAGACCGAAGAGAAAGCGTCTAGGTCGAGTCAAATAAACCCCTTCTCCTCTATATTTCTATCTATAAGCTCTTCTTGTTACTTTATGTAGTACGCTCAAATCACCTCAATTATAGGCGTATGGCAAAGCGGGCATTCGCCAACCCCGTGGAGCAACTCACTTGCGCACTTTGAGCAAATGCACGTATGCCGACATTTGACAGTAAATAGCAGACAAAATTATGTTACGTATTGTTCATTTGTTGTCGTGGAATTAGTACTGCGAACTACAGGTAAGTGAGCAATAGCTGACTGGCCTATAAAGAAGCGGATGTCCGAACAGGATGTCAGGTCTGGACGCAGCTACCTCCGCCTCTTCGTCCGCATCCTTTCTCACGCCCCACGTCCGCATCCCGCCCAGCACCGGCACCGTCGCACCGCACCCCCATGCCCGCATGAGAAAACCCACGTGGGTTGACCCACAGCTTCGCCCCCAACAGCAGGCTACGGCAGACCGCTGTTTGCTAGCCACCGATGTTTTGCAACACCCTGGTCTATTTTTAAAATATCCAGATGAAATATTTGCAACGTATGTCTAAAACAGATGAAACACTTGAAACATACGCTTGAAGCATGCATGTATAGGCATAGCAACATATGTAACATCTAGATCTACTTTTGCAACATCCAGATGAAATACTTACAACATAAGTATGAAACACATGAAACATACGTTTAAAACATGCGGATAGAACCATAGCAATATATGCAACATCCATAGTGGAACACTTGAAACATATGTATGCAAACACCTAAAACATAGGCTTGCAACATGCGTATATTGTCATTGCAACATATGCAACATCATATATCTACTTTTGCAACATCCAGATTAAACACTAGAAACACAAATCTAAAACAGCTGAAACACTTGAAACACAACGTCGCCAGTGACCACTACCTACCTGTTGGGGAACTGTGATAGCCAGCAAGCTCGGGTCAGGGGGACACCGAGAGCTACCCAGCGTACACCCAGACATAGGCCTCCCCTTCCTACTGTGGTGTCTTCAACCGGCCACAGTGCACACCATGGCCGCGAGGTAGATGGGGGCGCGGAGGAGCGTGGGATGGGGGCTAGGTGTGGCGCACCCACGCTGGAGAAAAGGCCGTGGCGGGCGGAAAAGGCAAGCGATGTGGTGGATGCGCCAGTGGCGGTCGCATGCGTGCTGCAGTGGCAAAAGAAAATGTCGTTGTCTTTTCGAAAAACCATGAAACACTTAAGGTGGAGTGGAGCAGCCGAGCATGCCTGTTGGGCCCGATTTCCGATAAAGAAGAGAGTCGATGTGATGGTTCATGGGTGTTTTGATTATGTGAAGCTACAATTTCCACTGATTGATGGGTCTGAATTTTGTAATAACGGCTTGCAGTCTCTATATGGTTTTGTTATTTGTTATCAACTTATCGTTACTCTACGACCTAAGGTGGTACACTTTGGTGCCACTTGTGATACTTTCTACTCAAAGGCGAACTTCTTCCCTAGCCGAGAATAATATAGTATATCGTTAGCAATCAAATGTCAATAATATCTAATGCTTGTCAATGATACTGTAAAAGACAATTTGAACATTAGACTAAGCAAAATTTTTGTTCATTCTGCAACTTGCTCAAGTTTTTTTTCTTCTCATTTTCTATTGGATGAAGAAAGATCCAGCATGCAAAAGCCAAGATCAGCAACAGTAACGACCATACGAGGTAAAGGAAGGCATATCTCAGTCCAAGAGATAGGACGCCTCTGTCTAAGCTGTCATAGAAATTGGCCTCTCATGGTTCACAGGCCTTCCACTACAAAAGAAATGTACCTCGGAGAAAAGATTGGACAACATTAACGATCAATTCCATGAAATGCTCTAGTGAAATAATTGGGCGCACATGATGCAACACAAAAAGAGGACAGGCTGTGCTATCTCAACACAGGAACAAGGCACAAGCTATTGTGACATACGTGCTATTTGTAGCAGAGTGTTTAACCTATTCACCAGATGTGTCGCTTATGTTTCCAAAATGAGAATTCTAGGCATGAACCAAGCGCAAGCGAGGATTTGGCCAAAAAGTCTTCTAGGCGAACTGAGCCACGATCATTTTGGAACAAGCTTCTTCTACAGTATTTATAGAGTTAATGCAGTTCAAAAGTTGCAGCTTCTTCTCCGGTATTTATACGGGCTTGTAGCGGCAGCGAACACTCCCGAACATATTCTAGAGCAATTTTCAATTGAATTGATGGACACCCATTTATTAAGAGCCATGAAAAAAAATGCGTACCCAGTGCTGAGAGCTCCCGCTCTGTGTGGAGTTTAGGGAAGGATGTCAGTAGCAAGCCTTATCCTCGCCTGTGCAATGCAAGGAGACCACGACTCAAACCCGGGACCTTCCGGTCACAAGCGGTAAGACTCTACCGCGTGTACCAGGCCCGCCCTTCTATTAAGAGCCATGATCATAACAAATTATTCTATGGGAGCAGTGCCTATGCATGAGGTGCGCATATTTGTTGCGTATGAGATCTAGCCTGAACGACTGCAATACATATAGAATTACCTAAGTAAAGCCAATATCTTTTTTTTTTTTGAGAACATGCTCCGTTCGTTAAGAAGAAAGTGGAGTTTACCACAAGCAACCAAGCGAGTGAATAAAGGTTAAAATGTGCAGACAGAACACCGGCTTCAAGAGAAACAAAACACCTTGCTAACAAAGAAACAGAGAAGAAGAAACAAATTGGCTACAAAAGATTCAGATTTTTTTTTAAAAAAAATGTTGCCGCCCAAACCATCCAGCGATGCATAACCAAAGCATTGATAAGAAACTGTGCTATTAATTCTTTAAATTCTGACAGGAAAAGAAAGATCATAACTAAAGCAGAGATAAGACTTACAATTGAGACAATGTTCACTTCGCTGAAAAGACAAGCTGAAAAGTATTCGTTGATTTGTTGTGAGAGAAAAACATGATTTCTTCGCTGAAAAAGTACGGCTGATAAGACAAGTTCAAATTCACACAAAAAATCATGAGGTGCGCAGATTAGTACTAGTAGCCTTGTTAAAAAGGTGGAATAACCAAGCAGGGAGAGAAAGTGGCACTACATAATGGCATAACACAACTGGTAATAATATATATACTTCTAAAGTAGCATTACAAGATGGTACCCAGTGAACATTGGAGGCCATAAACGAAACGAAAGGCAGATTAAACTTACTGTACACAACGTGACTCAATCCCTACGGTTAAACATAATCAATATGCTGCTGCTTGATTGGCAAAACCCGAAAACCCTATTACCGCCCAGGACACTCCTTACTCCAGTGTCCTGGCTGATTGCATTTGAAGCACGGACCCTGCCTAGCATTGCCAGCAGCAACATATCCATTAGTTGCCACCTGTAAAGCCTCCAAATGCAGCACCATTGTCATGTGCCTGGTGCTGGGGTGCAGTAACATGCCTCGGGCAGTCTCTGAAATAGTGCCCAGGCTGATTACACTTGAAACACACATCTGATCTGGCATTGCCAGCAGCAGAGCCATAGTTGTTGCCTGTGAAGCCTCCACCCGCTGGTGTAGTAGACACCCTCCCATCTATGCTTCCTTGCTGCCCAAACTGATTTGCGCCACACATATTGATGGCACTGCGACCACCTGGTGAATTGCTGAAACCAGCTTTAGAGGCAATGTTGCCCTGATCTCCTGGGCTTGGGCCTGATCTGCTCTGCATAAGGCTGTCAATGGCTTCAAAAAGGATACTACTCTCTTTGGATGGATCCAACTTTTCAGCACTAACTATGGTACATCCAATACGTTGTTCATCGTTGTAGCTTTCCTCCCTAACTTTCAACTTGAATAGATTTAGATGCCAACGGGCTCCTTCTATGATCTCTGTGAATAGTGCTTCGTCATGGTCAACATTTCTCATTGTGCGAAGTTCTTGTGCAGTGCAGCCAAATATCTTCTCACCAGCCTCCTGGAATGCGGTAGCGTTGATAGTGCTGGTGTGATCTTGGATTTGAAATTTAACCATGTAACTGTACTCACAGCTTCCAGAGCTCTTATCACATCTTTCACAAAACCACATCCCATCACCACTCTCTATGACCTTTTTGTTGCATGGCTTCTCATTAAAAACAAAGGGGCATGCTGGATAACAAAAATTTTCAGTCTGCACATGTGAGATCGCAGCCTTAACAGTGATCCAGTCTGTCTTACCACGTCCCAAGGTTTCGTCCTTGATTTGTGCAATTGTTTTGCGGACATCAGCCTGGACTGAATTAAACTGTTGCCGAGATAGAGAGAGACAAGCAGTGGCCATTCCTTCAGTTACATACCACTGTCTCAGCCTTTCAGCATCAGGAAAGTCTGGGTTTATTGTCAACTGTGTTGACCCTATTGTACTCACCGATCTACCGCTGAAATCACTGATACGGGCACCTATCAAAGCAAGTATAGGATTGAAACTAGAATCACACTGCAGCTGTAACTGCTGCCCTTCAACATCACAGAAGTTTCCCCAAAAGGTCACTCCCACACTCCGACCAGACATGTCCCTCAATTGAAGGGTTCTTTTCTGGGTTTGGGTGCCACCCTTCCTTGTCATCATAACAGAAGGACCAACTGATGTAACAACACCAAGTAAATCTACCACAGTATGATTATCCATGTTCTCTATTTCACTGATCTGGCGAAAACTGTACTTCACCTTAGGAATATTGAAATCATCACTAGAACAAATCTCTACAGATGACAGTAAGGCGTCCAGAGTTATTTCAAGATCATTATTCAAAGGATTAAACCGCTTCTGTGAAGGTTTCACTGCTCCTCTAGATATCAAGTACACCTTATCAACCTCAATTAGATCATAAAACCGATCAACCGCTTCTTTGAAGCATACTGCACGAATTTGTCCACCTTCTCCATCAAGGAGATCAAATGAGAAAAGTTTCCCTGTACCTTTGGCATTGTTCCAATGCTTGACAACAGTCTTAGCAGTCACCCTGGCCTTGATTGTCCATCTAGTCTGGTAAACTTTCAATGAAGAAATGGGGACAACATGGGATGTCGGTTCACTAGCAACTGAAGCTCTATTGATATACCCTGAAGGTAGCTGCTGATATGAATGCTCATGGCGCCGGTGAGCATTGCCTGGAGGGGTCAAGGCCTCACCTGTGCCAGTAACTGCAAACCCTTGGTTTTGATGAGAGATCAGAGAAGGCTGCTGAAATCTTGGCTCCACCATATTTGCATTTACTGTGTTTTGTGCTGACAATGTACCATAAGAGCCTCCAGTAAACACATTGCTATGATCAGGTTCTACTGTCCGGCCAATGGAAAAACCTACCATGCCTTGAACATCATTAAAGGGTCCACCATATGACAGATTATTAGAAGCTTGATCTGCTCTTAGAGCAACAGAAGACTCCAGCATGCCTGGAGCACCAGAATTTTGAGCAGCAATGGCCGATAAGTTGGGATCTTGTACCTTCTCTAGACTTTGTGCCATGTAGTTTTTGGGGTTCCCGATTAGGGCACATGCAGTTTGCAGAATTTCAATTTTCACAATAATGATGATCCTGATTACGGAAGGGAAGAGTTGTCAGCTGAAGTGATATGTAGTAATCCATTTAAAATAACAATCAACACTCCATAGTTAGGACATTCTTTCTTCTAAGAGTATTGATCAGTTCTAAATAACATCAGCTAAACAGACTTGCAGGAGAAATGAAATCAAGTTGATGAAAGGCAAGGAAATATAAACTTTCTTAGAACATACAGAGAAGATGAGGTTGCATGATTTATATATTTTACAAAGCATCCACAATAAATGCTGGAAAGATTGATTATAACATATAAATGAATCTACATCGAACTCCATTTTAATGAGGCCTTAGAAATATGCTCTGCATTCTGCAAATGCCAGAGGAGTACGGCGTCTTATCGCCAGGCAAATTCCCACACACGCTCATCAACTATATAACTCGGCAATTTCTGCACTAACCTGTCTGTACAGGTTCCAAATAATGCGTTCCCCAAAAAAAAATGGTTCCAAATAATGCAAACCAAAGAACAGTAACCTTAAATCCCCACCTAGACAAGATCCAACCTCTACAGTAGAACCGTGCAATCCAACTACTAAGTTGTAAGCAGGGCAGACGGGCGGTGGCAAGGACATACTCACTCACCTTTTATCTCGGATGGTGTCGCATATGAACTCGTTGAGGTGGACGATTGTGCCCGCGCGTAGGGTGCCGTCCCTGACGAATGGGTTGAAGGCGGTGGCGAGGATGGCCTGGTGCGCGTTGACGCCGTCGGAGAGTATCAAGCGGTAGCGCTCCCGCTCCGAGGGGATGGGGTTGGGGTTGGCGCTGGAGTTACCGCTCTTGGTGGTGGCGATACGGCACACCTCCAGCACCTGGAGAACCGGCTGGAGCGCTGCGGGCACCGCCCCGTTCGCGATCGCCTGGACAGCGCCCGGCGTCAGCTGCGCCGCGGCCTCCATCGAACCAGGGGGCCGGCTGCCGAGGCGATTTGGATTCGAAATAGGGAGCGGTTTCCTTTTCCGCTCGAAATGGTGGGCATAAACCCCAGAGCGGAGAAGTTTATGGCTTGTGAAATTAGCTTATAGAAGACGAGGAGAGGGGAGGACGGAGGAGACCGCGCTTTCGTGGGATGTGAAGGGGAGATATACGGCTTGTTTAGATGCCATCCAAATTCTAGGTTTTTTTTTTCTTTTCATCACATCAATTTTTAATCGTTTGTATGAAGTATTAAATATAGTTAAAAAAAATAACTAATTACACAGTTTAGTTGGAAATCACGAGATGAATCTTTTGAGCCGAGTTGGTTCACGATTAGACAATATTTACCAAATAAGACGAAAGTGGTACTATTCATCGGGTTCACTTTTTTTGCAAAGTGAATGAGGCCTTACATTTTTATTATTACAGGATCTTCTCCGTTGTAACGGGAACAAAATAATATTACAGTAATTTTAAATTTAATCATACATATTAGCCTGTCTGTGAGTGTTATTTTTTTTACGTGATTACAGCATTTCACCAGATTTCTCAGCTTTTCTTCAGCAGTCTCTATAAGGGAACCATCAATCACCTTAAGAAAACATCTTAAACTATTGAAATATATACTCATCACTTCTGTACCATGACCAGAAAAAAAATCTATAAGCCAATATCCAATAAAAGGGCAGCACTCTCAATGCAGCTTTCCTATATTATATTACAGTAAAGTTAGAGAAGATGGTATTACAAGAAATTCATCTCATACAAAGGACAATATTGATCTATCCTTCAAATTATTTTATTCATCTTTCACTTCGTGTTGGCACGGCGATGCCCTACCAATATGTAATGGCAGGAGTGGTAACATCCAGTGATTATGGTAAAGTGGTAACATCCTAAAAACTCTTTCTGATCTAATTGGCAAACATATTTTACTTCTATTTTACGATCTCAGCTGCAAAATTGCCGCCACAGCTGGCAAGAAAGCCACCACTGACAACGAACAAGTTGCATGAGTACCGTACAAAGAGCTACTCAACCCATCAAAGTAATCGACAATGGCCAACCAACAAAGTTAGGATCTCGTAATTAAATCTCGTGAAAATGACTTGAATGCATGTTAACAAAACCACGGCAAAGAACAAAATAGTTAGGCCTTGCAACATGACAAAGTGCCAAAGAAGCCATGCAACAAAAAATGCATAGAAATTTCCTGCATCCACAATTTTTTGTCGACCCGTGATATAGCTAAAATGATTTAGTCGCATCAAGCAGGAATTCTAGTTTCATAAACATCCTCAAAAATTTGGCGGCGTGAGGGTGATCGCGGAATTGATCACGATTGTTACGGAAATTAATTTTTGCCTTTCTGATATGCTAAAAATTGATCATGATTATTACGGAAATTGATTTTTGCCTTCCTAATTTGCTACGGCTGTTATGGGGATTGAGCTGATCGTATGGAGCAAGTACGCGTTGCCTTCCTGATCTGATCGCATGGAGCGGCTTTGGTGTCGCACCTGTGGATGGAATAGTTATGAATGTTTTAGTTGTAGAGATTAACATCGTCACTCATCCGAATATCGCTCTCAGAATTGTCCTTACATATTTACTATAGGAGAGAAGAAATCTTACAAGTTTACCAAAAACGAACGTTTTTTTGGTACATGGCGTGCCAGGTCAAGGTGCCAACATGGAGGGGCATTGCAAAAATACGAACCTGCCCCTGCCCTGCTCCTCTCTCTCCCTCTCCGATAGCCAGGTCCCGCAGCTCCTGTCACTGCTAGTTAGGACCCACTCGTCAGATTCGTCTTCCACCTCTATCACCCGGATGGGAGACAGCCTGGCCACGGCCACATCCGTCTGTCGCGCGCAGGAGCACTGCCGGCCACGCCCGGCATCGCGCGCTCCTGGCCACCCGCCGCCGGCCGCTGCCACCCCCGGCCGTGCCTAGCCTCATCCGCGCCTGGCCCCCATCGTGCTAGGCCACGCCCGGCGTAGCCGCGCGTGGCACCACTAGCCCCCGCCTTTCTAGTTGTCTCCCATCCAGGTGCTGGAGGTGGAGGACAAATCTGACGAGTGGGTCCCATCTAGCAGTGATAGGAGCTACAGGACCCGACTGTCGGAGAGGGAGAGAGAGGAGCAGGGCAGGGGCAGCTTCATATTTTTTGCAAAGCCCCTCCACGCTAGCACCGTGGCCTGACACACCACGTACGCAAAAACGCCTGTTTTTAGTAAACTTGTAAGATTTCTTCTCTCTCCAATGGTAAATATGTAAGGCCAATTATAAGAGTGATATTCGGATGAGCGGCGTTCTTAATAATGGTAAAATATAAATCTCCCGACGTGAAGCAGTTTTGAGGGTGGAGACGAGGTCTCGGTGCATAGACCAGGTGTACACCAGGACGGGGTGGTGTTTCAGCATTGGGTTGCGTGCCTTGAACAGGTGGTAGTCATTGAGAGAAGGTGGATTACGGCAATGCTTTTGTCTCTGTTCCATCCTAACGAGACTGTAGGAGTGGCCGTTTAGGTCTCGTTTGGTGCGGCTCCGTTGGCTCCGGTGCCGAAGTCTGTGGAGGAGCTGGCGCTTCTAGCGTCGGATGGAGGAGTGTCGGCACAAAAACGTGTCGATGCGCCGAGCACACAGTAAGCCAGAAGGATCTACTTAGGATAAGCCCGGAGATCCGCTTGTCTTCAATCGCAGGACCCGTCGACCCTACGAATTCTTCCCGAGGCGTGCCAATCAATTTGACCTGCAATTGACAAGGAGAGAAAGTTTATCAGTAATTTAAGGTGGAACATACCGGTCTTACCCAGACAGTTCCAAGTGTGCCGCTTCGGGAGTGGCCAGACAGGAAAATCGACTAAATAGCCGATACGTAAAGAAATCGGCTGTTACCGACTATAAAGATTGTGGGTCGTGATTGATTTTATGTTGATATGTACAATGCTCGTAGATGTAAGTAAAATCATCAGCTAGGTGGATATTACCAGTGTGAATCATTGAGCCAATGAATCTAACGAGAAAGGATATAACATGCGAACAAATCGACTGTCTAGTATGAATGGATCTACAAATGCTCTGAATCTAATCTGCTACCATCAACAGTGAGGTTTGACCGGATCGATGGCAGCTATGATGAAAATAACAAACTAAAACCAAAGAATTCGTAAAACCATCTATACATTGACAGGCTTTCCGAAAGACATGCTATATGTGTGAAAGCTCAAAGCGGATCGGCTGAAATAGCCGATTCAGGTGAAAAGAGACTACAGCATATGAACAATCAACTATTTATAGATGGACAAATCTATGAACTCATCAGACCTAACCTGTTATCTCTAACAGTGGGGTTCGATCGGATCGATGGCAGCTGTGATAAAGACAACAAATTAAACCATTAAAGTAGATAGATCAATTCACATTTAACAGAATCATGGAGACACACTATAGGCGTTAAAGCATAGGCGATCGGCTATTTAGCCGATGTAGGCATAGCAAACAGTTAAGGTGACGCCTGATCGAGAACAAATCTACCAACTAGCATCCTTCGATCTAAAGTGCCGTCAGTGGGTATCGACCGAATCATTGCAGCCATAACAGCGAACTATAGACTAGATGTAACCAGCCAGCAAACCTCCTCAAGGTCGGACACACCTTAACCGCGTACTATGCACGATCACGATCGAAGTAGAACAACCGATAAAACATAACCGTTGCTCAAAGTGAGAAACATCGTATTGTAACAAAGCAAACGATGGACTAAAAGGATATGAATCCGATCTAGATCGATCTCGATCGGGTAGGTTGATGTTGCTAAAAATTAATGACGATAAGAACATCAGCAAGATCGGTAACTTAATGAATCTACCCGAAGGACGCCACCCTTAGGTAGAGCCGATAACTTGACCTTAATCTAATTCGAGCAGTGGAGGTCGAACTTAATCGATGCAGCTGTACTTGAACTAGATAAGAGTCAATAACTAGCTTATACTAGAGTTTGCAATGGAGGTCGAACTTAATCGATGCAGCCGTACAAACAGAAGTATAAGCCATGATGGTACTTATAGATAAGCCGGAGGTCGGCCGGACCGATGCAGCCCTGCTTGTTGAAGAACTCGCCGAGATCTACACTACTCCTCCTAAGGGTTAGCGTAAAACCAAAAAAAGTAATTTGTATTGATTGATTGGATGTCCTTTTTACAATAGCCGGGGTCCAATATTTATCCCCGGAGCCTAGGCATGAAACCTACTCAAATACGACTCATTACAATCTTTGGTATAAAAGAAAACATTTCTAACTTAAGATAACTTGGACGCTAATCTTTCCCTTTTTGTAGAGTCCGACATGTATTTCCCGACGCTAACTGTAGCTCATTGTCATTATCTGCTGACGTCATTCGAAGAGAGCCGATTCTAGTGCCGCATCTGAATCAGCTGATATTGATCCTTATGCAATTGATTCATTGATTGACACAATCTGGGAAGCTTCGAGTTCTTCCCAAATTTTGGTGTAAACAAGGAGCTAAAGCCCTTTTGTGAGAGGAGCTTAAGCCCAAAAAAGTGGCTTCACCTGGGGCTCTAGCTCGGATGAAGGAGCCACGCGGGTAGTGGCGGATCCAGAAACGGACCAAGGGGTGCTAAATAATAGAAACATGGTTTGGGCGACCGTCGATTTGGAGTCGATCCTTCACGACCCCCTCAAGTCAGATGAGGAGAGGCGTTGAGGCTAGCGGCCGGTGCCCTCCGTCGCCCCTACATAGGGAGGAGAAAAATGATAGCAATTGTTCTATATGTGTATGTGCATGAGGCATCGCCCCTAGGACTTAGATTCCTTGTAAATAATGAGTCATGTGTTGCTATTTATTTACCGCTCCTTTTTTATGTCTTTAGGTTGTTTCTAGGGTTCCCTTCATCATTCGTCATAGCCTCTCCTCCCCCGTGGACCTCAGCCTCATCCTCATCGGCCAGGGTCGGTCC